TATTTAATTCGAAGATAATCCTCAACTACTATCTTTCTGCATCTTTCCAGAGGTGTGTAGACCAAGTTGATTAAAAGTACTGAGATCTATAAATAATTGACTCAATCAAAATTAAAGTATTGAAAAGTCTCCATCGCGTGCGATTTTTCTAGATGTGATAATCAATGTGTCTTGAGAAAGGACCGCCCTTTCTTGAGAAAGGGAGGTCCTGGTGGTTGGTTGACCTAACTTTTGAGCCAAAACTTGTATTATTATAAAGTCTCCATAATACAAGCATGATGCACTAAATTTAATAAGAAAAATTTCCCTTTGTTTTTCTTTTCCTTTTTCTTTTTGGCTTGGTTGGTACCTTCGTCATATTTTCTAGGATTAATATCACGAAAAACCCTAAACCGGTACACTTATGACAAATTTGCCCTAAACTATTTTTTTGACCACAAAAAATCTCAAACTAGTATATTTGTAATAAATTTACCCTCTATTAATTTCGGTTAAATTGAATTAATACCACGAAAAATCACAAACTGGTAATATTTGACAAACGGAGGGTAAAACCCTAAACAGGTATACCCGACAATTTTCACGTGTTATCCAACTCAGCAATTTAACGGTCAAATTTAAAAGAAATTAACGGATGATAAATTTGTCATAGATGTATTAATTTAGGGTTTTTCGTAATCTATTGTCTATGATTTTTTTTTATACTCAAATTCCAAACCCACGATTTTCATTCCTAGTTCTAGCGATCGGGCTTTTCCTCTCGATTTTCGCATCCACCGCGACGTGGATTGATCGATCTATCGCGAAAGCGGATTCTCTCCTGTTAAGACGTTTACATTTCTTCCCATATAGCCGAAGGAATCCGAATCCTTTGCGCTTGCCTTTTTTCCTTCCCGCATTGCTTTTTAAGGAATATATTTGAAATTTTATCACGATGTTTCTTATATCCCAAACTTGTTCGCCGATTACAATCGAGTATAACAGCTAAAAATACCGTTTCCATTCCATACTTCATTTCGTTTCCATCAGTATTGTCGAATTTTGGCTTCCTTAGATGCTCAATTACCTAGAAGTCACACCATCACATCAGATCGTATAAAGTTCCTTTCACTTTCATCCTTTTAGCTTTTTATCCTCCAAGATGAATCGCACAAAATTCGACCCTCTCTTTTTTCTTTCTCTGCTTTTTCTTTTGGCGTGCTCTCTTACTTTTTCATTCTGCTTCTCGCTCAAGCAACATAATATGAAGTACCTTATGCAATCCGTGATATCACGTTGCCATGAAGACGACCGATTGGATAACAATCAAAATACAAAAAAATTTGCGAGGGCAAAAAAATATGAAAGCACTTTAAAAAAGTTTACGAATAGAGCAGATAAAAGTAGGGGGGATCGGTTCCCAATTCGGCCCGGTTCCAAGGTGGAACCGGGAATCGGACCGAGAGAACCGGTTCTCAATTTTGGGAACCGCGGACCGGATCGGGAATCGGACCGGACCGCCGGTCCGGTCCGGTCTAATGGAACCGGTCACTTAGAGTTTAGTTTTTTTTTTTTTTTGGTTAAACACTTAAGGTTTGATTCACATTTTACTAATTTTGTTAATGAATTTATGTCAATGAAGTTCACTTAGGGTTTAATTCACATTTTACTAATTTTTATCAATGAATTTATGATAATGAAGCTTACTTAGAGTTTAGTTCACATTTTATTAATTTTTTTAAAGAAAAAATAACAAAAATATATATTAAATAGTCGGTTCGGTCCGATTCCCCCTTGGAACCGGGAACTGGACTGCTCGGAAACTGGTTCCACTTTTAGGAACCGGGAACCGAACCGATAGTCCCGAGAACCGGACCAAACCCGTCGATCCTGTCCGGTCCCGATTTGGGCGGTTCAAGTTGCTCACCCCTAGATAAAATCATGAAGAATCATAAAAAATCACCAATTCTGGCAATAAATAAATAAAATTAAATAAAAAAGAGAAAAAGAAAATGGCGGAATAATCAAAAGCCCAATTGCTCAATGGGTTAAGAAACTATTCTCGGCATGGCGGGTCTACCAATACTGACCAGCTCTCTTAAATTAAAAAGGGAAATAAATCAATAAATGAATGAATAAATTAATAAATGAATTATAAATAAGTAAATAAACAAATGACTCCTCGAGGTCGTCGCCCAAGCCCATAGATATAGACAAAACTATGACTTTAAAACATTGTTATCCTCCTAACCATCCAAATTATTTTATTGATTTCGAGATATAAATACTACTATCAAATGAGTTTATAGGGTTTGCAAGAAACTCGAAATCGATACGATCAATTTTTAGGTGCTAAGACTTGAAAAACGCAATAAACTCCAATGGCAATCTTAATTACATTTCAAAATAATATCCTATATGCTCTCACTAATTAACGGGATTACGTAATCCTCACGTTAATTCAAACGTCCTTATCACACCAGACGGCCTCTACCGGCTATCTAACTTAGATGATTAAGAGGATAACAATGTTTTAAGTCATGGTTTTGTCGAGAATTGAGGAGTGATATGTTTTATTTATATTTATTTATTTATTTAGTTTCCTTGTAATTTAAGAGAACCGGTCAGTATTGGTGGACCCGCCGTGCAGTGAATAGTTTATTCGCTCTTTATGCAAGTGGGCTTTAGATTATTCCGCCATTTTTCTTTTTTATTTTTTCACTTTCTGTTTATTTGTTTATTTATTTATTTATTCCAGGATTGGTGATTTTGATGATTCTTCCTGGCTTGGATTTATCTGCTCCACTCATAATATTATATAAGTGCTTTCTTTATATTTTTCCCCGCAATTCTTCCTATTTTAATTTATAGTCAATCCGTGACATCACGATTGCACAAAATACTTCCAATCATGAGGCTTGAGAGAAATAAAACAAAAAGAGATTACGAGATACGATGCAATGACTTGACTCTTATATATTCGGATATCTAATGTAATTTAAGTAAATCAAAATTCAATAACTCGGTCGGAACGAAATGAAAAATGGAATGAAATTTATATTTCAACCATCATATTTGTAATCGCCCGATCAAGTTTGGTATCAAAGAAACATCGCGATACAATTTCAAATATATTACTTTAAGTAGCAATGCAAAAGATAAAAAAGAAAAAGAATGCACTTTGGATTGATCATTCAAACCAGACCTCGAAAAGGTAGACCTCCACCGTTTCCAGATTTTTTGATCGGCAAATTTCTCTTGGCTAGGAAATTTTAACCCGGTAAATAAGAAAAAAAATCCAGAAAAAATGAAATAGGAAATTCAAATAATAAATCACCTCAAATTATATCTTTATCATGAATTTTAGCGAAAGAAATTTTATGGTCCATTGAATTTGGCTCGCTTATTGATAGAGTGATTAAGATGTATTAATACTATATGAAAAACTTATAATAGGTTTATTACAACATATAAATATCGGAAAAATTCGAAAGTTTACGAAAAATCTATATAGGAAGGATGAATTTTAGGGTTTTCTTTGTGGCAGTGGATGTATTTTAGGTTGGCTCATTAGATTATAACTTTCATTAATTGGGTTAGTAATGATTTATTATTAATCGTCTCGAGCATTTTAATATTTTACGTGGAAATTTGAATTTGGAAGTTGCTTAGAGTTTGGTTTGATTATATAGTGAGATTAGGATAGATACGCCTACAATCACATTATTCAAAGGAGGAGATTCTCGAAGATTCGACCGATTGATTTTTTAACGATTTTGTGATGTAAAATGTACAAATTAAGAATTTGTCTGACAAAAAAAAAACAATGTGCACCAACCTATAAAATAACGTCCTACTTTAATGCAAAAACTTCATAAAAAATTCACGCTACTAATAAAATAATCTAGTAGCTGCATATTACTAAATAATGAGAGTGACTATTAATTAAAATTTATCAAGATAACAACTTTATGTCAAGAATCTAGAATGGAACTAAATTAAAACTAAGTTAAAATTCGAATTCCATGCTAGATTTTTTGGATAACACCGTTATATTGATCAATTTAATTATAATTGTGCTCATTATTTAGTTATATGCGGCTATTAATTTATTTTATTTGTAGCATGAATTTTTCATGAAGTTTCCTCACAAAAGTAGGATGCTGTTAATTTGAACGGTTTATATCACGAAATCATTCAAAAAATCAATCGGCTCAACCTTTGAGAATCTTTTCCTTTAAATAATTTAATTATATGTATCTATCTTGATCATGCTATATAATAAAATCAAACTTTAAACGACTTTCGATTTCAAATTTTCGCATGAAGTATTAAGATGCTCGAGACGAATAACAATAAATCATAACTAACCAAATTAACAAGAGTTATAATCTAATGAACCAACTTAAAATACTTCCACGACCGAAAAAAATTACCTAAGATTCATCAATTTTTTAGATCAGATATTTATACATCGTAATAGCCTATTATAAATTTCAAATAACATTAATACATCTTAATCACTCTATTAACAAGCGAGGACCATGGGATTTCTTTCCCTTAAAATCCATCATAAAGATATAATTTGATTTTGATTTATTATTTGAATTTCCTATTTCATTTTTCTAGTGTTTTATTTATTTATTTACTGACTAAAATTTCCTGGCCAAGAGAAAATTTTGCCAACCGAAAAATCTGGAAACGGGTGGAGGCCCACCGTCGACCGACGCCGTGAACGGTGGATGGTGCCCTATCGACCGTTCACCGCTCACGGCGTCGGTCGACGGTGGGGCCCCACCTGGTACTGGGGAATCTTGGAAACATAAAAAAAAATAAAAACTAAAAGCAATTTCATTTAATTTCTTGCCGAAATTAATGATTTAGGTTGCCCGTCTTTACCTTTCTTTTGTCGCTTTGTTTCCATAGCTAGCCACCAGGAGTTGCCGTCTTGGACCGTCGCACGCCACGTCAGGACCGCCACGTGTCGGCGTTCCATTGGCCTGCCTTTCCCCCGCCGTGACCGAATCAACCTCCTCCTCCGCTATAAAGAAAGGCCCTTCCCTCACCTTCTTCTCACACCATAGCCTCTCCGCTCTTCTTCTTCTTCTAAATTCTCGATCGATTCTCAGCCAAGCCCTTCGCGAATTCCGTCAAGGTGAGGCTTCCCGATCTCTGATCTTCCTGTTCTTCGCGATCTGCGAATTGGGTTTTCTCCGATCTGTTGATCTTGGATCTGCGAATTGGGTTTTCTCCGATCTGTCGATCTTGGATCTGGGTTTTCTGGTTTCGTTTGTTCTTGGCGTTTTCTTGATTTCTGGGTTCCAATGGTTGAAAGGGAGGCTCAAGTTTGTGTTTTTTTTTGGTGCTCTGCAGATGCAGATCTTCGTCAAGACCCTCACCGGGAAGACCATCACCCTCGAGGTGGAGAGCTCCGACACCATCGACAACGTCAAGGCCAAGATCCAGGACAAGGAAGGGATCCCGCCGGACCAGCAGCGTCTGATCTTCGCCGGCAAGCAGCTCGAGGACGGCCGCACCCTCGCCGACTACAACATCCAGAAGGAGTCCACCCTCCACCTCGTGCTCAGGCTCAGGGGAGGCATGCAGATCTTCGTCAAGACCTTGACCGGGAAGACCATCACCCTCGAGGTCGAGAGCTCCGACACCATCGACAACGTCAAGGCCAAGATCCAGGACAAGGAAGGTATCCCGCCGGACCAGCAGAGGCTGATCTTCGCTGGAAAGCAGCTCGAGGACGGCCGTACCCTCGCCGACTACAACATCCAGAAGGAGTCCACCCTCCACCTGGTCCTCCGTCTCCGTGGAGGCATGCAGATCTTCGTGAAGACCCTCACCGGTAAGACCATCACCCTCGAGGTGGAGAGCTCCGACACCATTGACAACGTGAAAGCCAAGATCCAGGACAAGGAGGGAATTCCCCCGGACCAGCAGAGGCTGATCTTCGCCGGAAAGCAGCTGGAGGACGGCCGTACCCTGGCTGACTACAACATCCAGAAGGAGTCCACTCTCCACCTTGTCCTCCGTCTCCGTGGAGGTATGCAGATCTTCGTCAAGACCTTGACTGGCAAGACCATCACCCTCGAGGTCGAGAGCTCCGACACCATCGACAACGTCAAGGCCAAGATCCAGGACAAGGAGGGAATTCCCCCGGACCAGCAGAGGTTGATCTTCGCCGGCAAGCAGTTGGAGGACGGCCGCACCCTCGCCGACTATAACATCCAGAAGGAGTCGACCCTTCACCTTGTCCTCCGTCTCCGTGGAGGTATGCAGATCTTTGTCAAGACCCTCACCGGCAAGACCATCACCCTGGAGGTCGAGAGCTCCGACACCATCGACAACGTCAAGGCCAAGATCCAGGACAAGGAAGGCATCCCCCCAGACCAGCAGCGTCTGATCTTCGCCGGCAAGCAGCTGGAGGACGGCCGCACCCTGGCGGATTACAACATCCAGAAGGAGTCGACCCTCCACCTTGTGCTCCGTCTCCGCGGTGGATTCTAAGTGGTGGTGGTCGTGTCTGGCTCTACATTTGGTGTTTCTGGCTTGTTATGAATCAATTCTCTTTGGAAGTGTTTATGTGAAATCAGGGCCGATGGGTTCCTGATCGTTTGGGGGGCTTATGAATAAATCAGTTTCAATGGAATAAATAGTTTTTGCAAATCATCTGTGCATTGGTCTCTCTTTTCTTGGATTCTTGAGCTCAGATGGTGGTGGTTGCTTTGTTCTTCCTTTGGCTGTTGCTTCTGAACTCCACAGGGTTCTGTCTTATTCTCTTCTTGCTCGATCGATCGATCGATCGCTTGAATGTCTTGCCTAGGATCACCAGTTGTTTCAATGTCTGATGATTACTACCCCCATGGAAATATGGTGAATTTGCTGCACCCGACAGCTTTTTGGCCATGGAAAGCTATGCACCCTTTGAAGCCACAACCTTTGTTTTGCCATGTAAGAAACGCTCCGGACCAAACAAGAACATGAAAATACATTGTTAAATGTGACGAGGTACCGTATTGGTTTTGGCTATAAAAGATTTTTCACTATAAGAAAAAAAAGATTAGTAATTTCAGGAAAAAATAAGTTAGGTAGAATCCTAATGCTGTACGCTCGTTGAACTGGTCTTCACTAGTTTTGGGCGACAAAAAATACGATTAATTACGATTAATTGCTAACTTATTGAATGAAATAAGAAAATTCCTTCCATACTTTACCGGCGGATTAACCAATGCTTGATTGGAATCATAAATCGGACCCGGGATAATCTTTTCACACAGAGAGAAAAAGAGGGGTTCATGGTCTCTCAATCCTCCACATTCTGATAGAAGGGAAAGAGAACACGGCCTCGCAATCTTTCTTTTCAATTCAAGGTAAAGGACACATAACTCCATTTTCTGGGGGATGACCTTGGATTGAAACCACATTGCTGGTGCTTTCCATCTGCCTTGCACAAGAGGATTTGGTTCTGAGGGACCTGAGTCTCCCTCGTGGGGCCAAAGAAAAAGATACAAAGAAAAAGAAAGGGCTGAATCTTCTTGATTGAGAAGAGAGAGAGAGAGAGAGAGAGAGAGAGAGAGAGGAGCGTTCACTGAAGCAGAAAAAAGAGGCGGAGTGCGTAACTTCGAAGATGCGAAGAGGAAATCCAAATTCGATAGTCAAACTTGGTCAAAATTGGCTGAAATTTAATTGCATAGTTTGTGAGATCAAGATCAACAAGTTAGATCCGTTTTGTTCGTCGAAATCCTTCTTCGAATTGTCTCTCAATTTCTTCGACAGTGATTAGAGATTTTCTTGCTTCTTTGTGTTAATCCACATTTGTGGTTATAATATATTGCTATTTTGCTTATGTGAAGAGCCTCTAGCTGTGTGACTAGAGATGGACTATTGTGTATCTTGCTAAGCTTGGTGATTAACGGAAGTTTTGAGCGGTCTAGTGGTTTTTCCTACATTGGGTTTCATTGTAAAATTTGTGGGTGTTCTTTTTGCCTTGCTTTAATTTTTTCATTACTACATGTACATGTATTGGTTTGGGGTTGATATTGTTCAAATACTGTGACTAGTTGCTGCTGGGGTTAATTTGATATTAGTTAGTTGAGTTTTGGGGATGATATTGATCCTGAGCATGTTTAAATAGTAAATTGTTGCCCTTTCTCCCCAACAAAGTGGTATTAGAGCTAGCGTCAAGTGGAGGAAACCAGCGACACCATATTTAAGTTATAATGCCTCGAATTACTTTACTCAGAAATCTCGGATAAAAGAAATATTATACTGTAAAGATTTGAATGATCCCATAGATAGTGATGAGGCTAAAGGAGAAAAGGAAGATAAAGATTAGGAGTGTATGAATCGAGAAATGGTTGGCAATATCCGACAATGGATTGATGATACTATCTCTTTTTTTTTCATGTTACTCAAAAAACAAATGCTCGACATTGTGGAAGAAATTACAAAATCTCCATGAGAGGAGAACACAAAATGAAGCATTTTTAGTTAAAAGGCTTGTAAACTTGTGATTCAAGGATGGGAGCAATATGTCAGATCACTTGAGTAAATTTCAGGATGTCATGAATCAGTTGACGAATCTTGAAATTGATCATGGAGATGAGTTACGAGTATGTTTATTGATTGGTACTTTCCTCGACAGCTGCTATACATTAGTCATGGCATTAAACAACTCTGCTCCTTACGGTGTGCTTTTCTGTGAGTATGGTTAGAGAAACCTTGTTCAATGAAGAAATAAGGAGAAAATGCACGAATTATGCTTCTCACTTGGAGGCTCTTGTCATGCAAAATAGAGAGAGAAATTAATTAAGAAATCCAGAATTACGATAAAAAAAAAGGCAAGTTAAGAGGAAAATCGAAATCAAGGCTGAGGAGAAACATGAAGTGTTGAAAATGCGGCAAGATGGGACATGATGCCAAAGAATGCAAGTTCGCAAAGAGAGATAAATCCCAATATAGATGTGGAGATAGAAAGAAAGAAGAGAAGCAAGATACAACGACAATTGCATTCGATGGCAAAGTTGTGTTCATCTGCGACGATACTTGTGTGAACCTTATATGTCAAAGACTCTATTTGAGTTGTTAATTCTACAGCCTCATTTCATGCCACCTCACGGCGTGACTGCTTCACATCTTATCGGAACGTTAATTTTGGTTGGGTCAAAATGGGGAAATGGTGGTTTTTCTAAGATTATCAATATCGAAGATGTTCATTTGATAACCGATGTTGGATGTAATATGCTCCTGAAAAATGTGAGACATGTTCTAGACATTCGTCTTCATTTGATATTGACAGTTGTCTTAGATGACGTGGGTTACTACAATTTCTTTTATGATGGCTAATGGAAATTGATTAAAGGTTCAATGGTGGTAGCTAAGCGCAAAAGGAACTTTCACTCTCTACACTATGCAAGTTAAGTTAATCAAGGCGAAGGTAAATGTAATGGAGGACTCCTCAATTCAACTATGGCATATGAGAGTTAGTCATCTTGGCTAGAAGGGGCTTGAAACTCTCGCTAGAAAGAACATTCTACCATGGAAAGAGAGAAATATGAAGGAATGTACTCTTTGTTTATCAAGTAAGCAACATAGATTTGCATTTTAAAGCTCCTCTCCACACACAAAATCAAATAAACTTGATTTAGTTTACAAGGGGCAAGTACTAAAAAAGTCATAAACCTATTGCATTGGTACTAATTCTATCTTAAACATTTCAATTGGGTCAATTAGTCTGAAACATTTTCACATTGGTACCAGTTCAATCCATTTGGCCAATTCAAGCCGAAAATCACTGATGTGAATGCCAACGGTCTTACGTGGCATAGCTGGCATTGATGTGAATTTTTTTTTAATAATTTTTTCTTTTTTTTCTTTCCTTTTTTTGCTCTGTCCTAGCAAATGGACGAAAAAATATTTTTAGCAGCAGGAATCGCAATAAGAAAATAGCGAAAAGTAATAAGTGATCGAAGATGTAGAGAGGAACAACACTCTAGTACCAACATGCCGCCACGATACTAGGGTGATCATCAACGCGAACATCGTGATTCTACCAGAGAATCGCCAAACCATTTCTCTCGTCTCACTCCATCATCGTTGTTGCAGAGGAAGAGGTGGAGAAACGAAAGCGGCATGGATTCCGAAGTCAGAGATTAGAGTCTCGAGAGAAAATGAATGGAGAAAGAATACGGAGATACAAAGAGAGCCATAGAAGGAGACGAGAGAGAATCAGGAAATGGACAAAATGTCCATCTAAATTGGTTTGGGAGCGAACACACTAGATAGAGAGATTGTGGTGGAGAGAGAGCGAGGCTTGCGGGCCTTGCCCTCACCTAGGTGACGCCCAGGATGCCCTAACCTGGGCGAGCCTAACCTGGGCGAGGGTTGACCTTGCTAGATCTGGCGAGGGGGGCCTTGCCGGCGCTCGCCCTCGCCCTCGCCCTCGCCCTCGCCCAGGCAAGGCCAGCCACCGGCGGCCATAGCCTATGGTTGGCGACTGACCATCGGTAGAAAGAGAAGGGAAAGTAAAAAAAGGAAATTATTAAAAGAATTATAAAAAAGCGCCGGATGTGGCATGTAGGACTACTGGTATCCACGTCAGCAATTTCCTGCCTAAATTGGTTAGATGGACTGAATTGGTGCAAATGTGAAAAAATTTGGACTAAATTGGTCCAATTGAAAGATTTATGACTGAATTGATACCAATACAATAGGTTTATGACTTTTTTGGTACTTTTCTCAATTTACATAAATGTTTATTGCATAAATGCTAGAACACTTGATGGTGCATCATATTTTATGACATTGGTCTCTCTTCATGGAAGGTTGAGTTATTGATTGTTCTACTCGCTTTGAGATGGCGGTGCTTTCTTCTTCCTTTTGGTGTTGCAGTGATAAGCTTTTCCGCTGGACTTTTGAACTCCACGGGGTTCTTTTCTCTTTCTTGCTTGATCACTTGAAATGCTTTGCCTAGTATTACCACTTTGTTCAAAGTCTTGATTATCCATTGAATGGTGAATTTGCACCCAACAACTTTTGGCTATGGTTTGGCAAAACTACACCAAACTTTCTTCTGAGTTGGTCTTTAAAGCCAGGACCTTTGCTTTTCATATAATAAACGCTCAACCAAATAGGAACATAATATTTTTAAATGAAAGAAGGTGCATATGCGATGTAAAGAAAAAGAGGGGGCCAAGCTTTAATGAGCAAGCAATGCGAGCGATTCCTGGTCTCTCATTCCTCCACATTCTAGTAAAAGGGAAAAAAAATATGGCCTCGCAATTTTACTATTCAATTCAAGGCAAAGGACATAGCTCCAATTTCTGGGATGACCTTGGATTGAAATCCACATTACTGGTGCTTCCCGTCTACCTTGCACAAAAAGATTCGGTTCATCCTCAAAAACCATCTGATTGGCATATAAATTATGCTGATTGAGGAAAGACCGTTAGTAATGAAGCTGCTCTATGCACCTTCGATAGAAACCGCAAAAGCAGAAGCAATTCACGCTTCTATCTAGTTCCAAATTGGCAAAATGACTTACTCGGCAAAGAGATGATATAAGCATTAACTCTGCCAAAAGGAAAAGGTTTCCCCTAGAACCAGAACTCAAAGTTGATGTGCCTGAAACGCAACTCACACCAACAGTCTTAGCTCGATGAGCCTCAATTTCGTTTTAGTGTGGACCAAAACAGTGGTCCTCTTTTCTTTGTTGAATAGAGATGATAGAGATCATACTAATAACAAAAGAATTCCATAGAAGGAGTTGGCCGAGGAAAGAGGTCGGAAACGCTACTTCAGAATATAGTTGGAAAATATCCAACCTTACGAAGATCAAGGCTGGAAGCCACTTCATCAACAGGCTTTCGGGTTCGCAAGACTCTTCTCCTTACTTTCATAATGAAAAACTGGATAACCTAGCCTAAAAGAAAGCAATTGCCATGTGTGATATCAATCCCATTCATGGACATTTTATAACTGGTGGGGAAGAGTGAACTAGTGTTGTAAGGGTCGAGATTGAATAGAAGTGAAGCAACATATACATCCTTTTCTTTTTGGGAGGGTGAGTAGTGGTTAACTCTAGAAACTAAAAGTGAAATGTGCATACACTCCAACCACACACAGCTGACGCTAGAGTGAAGCAAAGCCTCCCCTATGGGTTTGGTGTGCAGTGAACATGGTAGGGAAGAGAGAAAGAACGACATTTTCTCCGAGATAGCCCACAATTTTTTATTGTAACCCTAAGCATACAGCATGGAATGCCTACCCTTTTCGCCGGAGATTGACGAGCATTGCCCCGTTCAGATGCTTGGATGTGGGCCCTTAAAAGGCCCATATACTATTCAAGATATGACCTCTTTCCTATTGTTAATACGATAGAATGAAGGAGAGTAATTCATAGTTTTCCAGGCTTTTCATTGATAAAGCATTTTAGAATTAGGCTTTGCTTTTGTGGAGGACAATCATGAAACCTTTGCTTTTGTGGATGAGTACCATTACATTGATTTGTTTAAGAGAGAGAGAGAGAGAGAGAGAGAGAGAGAGAGAGAGAGAGAGAGAGAGAGAGAGAGAGAGAGAGAGAGAGAGAGGCTTAGATCAAAGGTCTTAAAACCTTGGATTTGATGTTGTTTGAGGTTTAGATTTGTAGATATTTGTAAAATTTAGTGCATGTTTGTTTCATGAAAATATTATGTTGAAGGAGACGGTTTTACCCCATATTCATTTTCAAGGAAAGTGTTTGATTTTTCCTTAATTGGTTGTGAGCATGGAAATGTGAGAGTAGCAGAGAAAGAGAGGTGCATCAAGTGTTGCATTGGCAGCAACACAATGGGCGTCTCTTTGGGAAAAAATGATTTCCCTCGTGGGAAGGGAATTCATTTTCGAAAGTCTTAGCATGCCAACTTTGGTCGATGAAAAACATTTTCTGTTGACCGAATCATTTTCTAGTATCCAAGGTAGAAAGTCGGAAAAAATTATCCTAGAAATGGTTTTACTCCAAACAAAATCAACCTTCGATAACATGAAATTGCCTATTTCGATGTGCATGAAATAGGAAAAACGAAGCACAACTCTAATTGTACTTTTGGTAACAATTAATCACGATTAATATCTAGCAATCCTTTTTAGAACAATTTATACAAAAGATTGGGAGAAGATCACTAGAATAGAAGTAAAAGAGGGGGCAGTTAAAAATGAAGCTATGATCCGCCCGTAACGCTTCCATTGAAGATCTCAATGGTGTCACCTTGGCCAACATGGTGCCACCTAAACGACCTATCTTCATCCATCACATTCTGCTTGTATATGAAGAAATAGCCTTCTTGCGGCAGATGTAACTGGTCCGACTTTTGCAGCTTCTGGAGCTCCTTCCTCAGATCCCTGACATTGTCCGACGCGCTCACCTCGACTGCAATCCTCTTCGTCCCGCACTTTGGCAACACCATCACCTTCAACTTCTTGGAGGAGCTGGGCGCCGCTGATGTAGTTGGCGAACATTGTTTCACGGAGACCTCGACCTCGGAATTGTCCAAGAGCTCATACTCCCTGACCGACTGGTGGTCTTGCAACTCCGTGCCATTCACCTGGAGCGCCAAGTGGCCTGCAGGCACGCCCTCGATTTCGTGGATCTTCTCCTTCAATCGCACCACCGTGTCGTTCGCGTCGATCTCAACCGGGACGTGCGCTTTCATGGAAGCACTCTTCACGTTGAGCTGGAGTTTTGTGCTAGGACATGGCGAGGATTCTTCGGCCGTATTAGGGTTTTGGGGTGAGGCCGCGTCAATCACGACGAGCTGGACATGAGAGTTCTGTAGGATCTCGCAGTGCTCTACGTCGCGCTCGTCTGGAAGGACTTGGCCGTTGAAGATTAGGGTTTGTGTTGTCATGGGGATCCCTCGGTATTTCTGGATCTTCTCTTTGATCTCTTGAACTGTGTCAAAGTAACCCACTTCAATTGAGAAGGGTCTTCCTCTTTGAGGCTCGAAGATCACATCCATGGAAAACAAAACAAAACAAAAAAATAGAAATCTGAGATTTGTATAAGCTTTTAGCTTTGGTGATTGTCGACAATGCCCAAGTCATTAGGGTTTCTAATTAAGTGAAGAGCTACAAATTAGTTTTGAGGATAACAGCCTGCGAGATTTTCTAACTGACCAACAACATGCAATCTAGGTCATTTAAATCCTTTGATTCGAACCTTAAATTATGACAACATGCGATTTTCGATAGCTTACAACCTAAATTTACCATTTTGGTCCCAAGATTTATGCTGTACAAGGTCAAGGGATGATGTCATATTCAGTCCCTCGCAATTGTTTCAGATAAATCCAAAACATAACTTGGGAGTGTAAATTCATAACTTACTATTAAGCCCTAGATTTTGCTATAAGGCCATTTTGAGGATTTATCAAAAGCCATTAACTTTATTGCACGAATGACAACAGTTATGGGAAAGATAAGTAAAGTAGTTAACAATCGATACCATCATGCAATCTGTTTTGTAGAATCAAAAACCAATATCAAGTAATAAAAACATTTCAAAGTTATTTGAGACAAAGACAGTTGTTAGATGATTAGAAAAATTGGTAAACTAAAAAAGCAAACATATTTTGGTAAGTAACTCAAAGAAATGGTAATATAAAATTTGTCACTAACTTAATCGGAGAAAACTTGATCAATCACTCACATAAATGTGGACAATCTCATATGATTGATGGTTAATTTAGAGAGAATTTTTTTTTATCACATATATATAAGAAACTTTGATAATTTTTAAAAAGACTAAATAATCATTGGTAACTAACTCAAATAAGTGCTGGTAACACAAAACTAGCTAATAACTTAAGGGTTAATACCGCGAAACAAAAGAGATTCGATCATGCCGGTTCTCAAGTCAATTGCGTAGAGTCATGGGTAAAATTTATGGGAACCATCTTTAAACAGCTAATGCCGGTTCGATTTTTGGGTTAAATCTCTGAATCGTCAGTTTAATCAAGAACCGGTCTACTTTAATTGATTTTAAACTTATTTTTATAAAAGTAAATAGAAGTTGCAACAAAAGAGATTCGGTCCTAGGTGGCTTAAAAAGCCTTGAATTACACCAATCATTTGCCGAAGAAAGCTAACGTAGCAATTATGTCAAAATTATATATGAAAAAAGCTTGCGACACTATTCTCAAGTTTACTTTGGAAGCGGCTAGTTCAGTTTCAGGCTGTTTACAAAGGTTCCCAATTCAATTTCTGGTTCCAAAAACTTAAAACCGACCCTAAATGGGTGGATTCCAGGTTCTCGGTGTGAAACCAGCCCACCTTGAAATGGATCCCTTGATTCGCATCTTGTTTTAAATTTAGTTGACGGGCGTGATGACATATCTCTAGGGAGAGCACCTAGAGTAGTTCTCACTTCCTGGTTAATATTTTGACAATTCATTCTCGCCTCATCTTTATAGGAGAACAAAGGTTTCTCTAGGGCGAAACGGAAAAAGAAGCAAGTAAATTTGCGCATGCTTGCGCGTGCAAGCTCAAAGTTCAAACACTTTGATTGGCTTCAACAATCTGTCCCCCACCAACACTCAAAGAATGCCAAATTGAAACCAAGATACAAATAAATAAACGAATGAAGTAATAAAAAGGTTACAATTGATAAAGCCTTACAGCCGAAAGTGCAACATAGGCTAGAGGTATGGGGCCAAAAAAAAGCAAAAAAGAGACATTATCGCATCCTCTCTCTATGTATAATATATAGTATTATAATGCCATCATAAAGACAAGATTCCCACAATTTGTCTCACTGGCACATGACCTTTTTCTAATTAGAAACATTCCACTAAAAGGGGAAAGAAAGATAAAAAATAATAATAAAAGGAGAAGTGAGGGTGAGAAAGATTGTTAAATAGCAAAAAGCATGTGAACTTTTAGCTGTTCCTTATGTGACCGCGTCTCCTTCCTCACTATCTTCCTTATCTTGAATCGACATCACCATTAATGAACATGCCTTGCAAATTCCATGCTCAGAGAAGATTGCCCGGAAATAGTGCCTACTAAATCGTATGTACGCACGACAATGCAACAAAGCTGATTCTAGATCCAAGAAATGATTTCTTTTTTTGGTATTGTGGAGGACTAATTGGGCGTGTTTCGATGTCCGAACATAATTGCAACTTTGATGATTCAAGATCAAGGGGACTTGCCATCCGGTTGTGGTTCGGTGATGGAAAAAGTGAAATATATGAGTAGGATTGTTCCAATGCTTGATCTGCATCATAGTGAGGGAAATGTTTAGTGAAGGAATAACCATCAATTGATAACTTTAATGTCGAGTTAGACGTTTTGATAGCGTAAGTGCTTCGAAGATCAGCAATGGAGCTGAAAAGTTATGTAGAAAGCTCACAAGGTAGCAAAGAAGAAGAGAATCCTCTTGGGATCGAGAATCCTCTTGGGATCAGGAACCCATGAAAGAGAAGTACGTCTCGAGCCACTCCTCCGGACGATGCGTTTGCCTCCGGCTACGGTGCATTTGCCGTCGCCAACGATGCCGGAGACGGTGGTGGTGATAGTAATCTGATGATTTGCTCGTGCGTCGTTGGAATGCTCCGTCGTCATCCCTCCGGCCTCCATGTTTGGCCTTTCCGGTGTGCTAATGATAGCCTCTTCTGTTGAAAATGCAGAAAAATAACTACGATGTTCTTTTGTCAAATAATTAATTAGAAATAAGCAGGAAAAAAAAGATAGGAACCGATCCCAAGTTCTATTGATATGTTGATAAAAGAAAGCTACTATTAGAATCAAATTTTTATTAGATCCACTGCTAGTAAAAAAGAATTACTTGCATCCTCACCAGTCGATTATTGACACGCAGAAAAATTCGGTTACAGAACTAAACTCTAAACACACGCGTTACTGATCCAACAGTGAATACGTAACTTTTTTGTTACACTAGGACCTAACAACAATCCTTATTATCAAACCCTTAAATGCAGATTAGGTAGCCCCACCTAATATAAAATTCTCTAACATAGGAAGACAGATTCTTCTCAACCGTAAAATAGAGGGTGCCATATTCATTAACTGTAACCTAAACCTTATCTCCCTACCTATCTTACTTCTTTCAACCCCCATTAAAAGAAGGCCATTACCTCTGGTATGAAAATAACAACTTAACAAGAACAATTGGATCGATTGTGTATTAGTTATCATGATGAATGGCTTCCTTATCATGGTAATTAGCTTTTGGAATGAGCATGTACAATACAAAAGAAGAAGCACATCATGAGGAATGAGAACAATATCATCCAAAAACCAAGTAGAGTTTTTATGAAGGGAAAAATATGATGTACCTTCCTTTTCTGCATCGGCCTTGTGATCATGAGCATTGGGATTAGCAGTAGCAGTAGTCTTCTTCTCAACTCCACGCTTAAAACTCTTCCTTGTGACTCCTCTCTGCAAGTTTTCAAGTGTTATCTTGCCATGAAGAGCGTAGGAATATTTCATGATGTAATGAATATCGTAAGTGTAAACGAAAGCTAGGAGGCAATGAGTTATTTTTCGATCGAATTACATGCCCATAGAAATGTTTAAGGGGCAGAAGAAATTTTTATGCTGTTGGGTGGAAATGGCATTTTGATTTGCCGTTTCCTTCGGAGTTCATCGTTGTTCATACATTAGTCAAGAATTGGTGAGAAGAATATGTTGGAACCGCAAAAAACATTAGTCTTTCCGAGAAGATTATCTGGAAAAAGAACAAGATGAGAAACAACAACGTTTTAGGGTGATTGAAGAGCCCAAAAAGAAAAAAATAGAGAAGAAAAAAACTCACCATGATCCAGGAGTTCTTATCACTCTCTTTCATGGCCATGTTCGACAAGCTTTCCATGTCGACAACGAAATTCTCTGAAGTTCCCTGGATTCCCATCTTGCCCACTAAGTCGTAAGCCTTGCGAAATCCTGAGAAAGTTGTCACAGAGAGAGAGAGAGAGAGAGAGAGAGAGAGAGAGAGCCAGAGAGCGAAGCTGAATAGAACAGTGAAACAGAAATAAAATAAAGGACAGCTTTTAGAAGAGTGAAACACTCAATGACAATGGACTAAATTCATGGATAAATTATCATTTTCTAGAGAGAGAAGCGGTGGAAATGGCGCGCCGAGCGGCGTAATTACAAAGATATCACCCGATGACTAAGAAGAGATGAGAGACGTTGAAACTGGAGCCAAGACGACTTGTTCAATGCATGTGTTGATCTTCTGTCATCCACCACCAACAATGGGTTTGAACAAAGTTAGACACGCGGAAACAACCTAACTCTGCACGAAAGAGTGAAGACCGAGACTGTTGTTGTGCTTCCAAAGTTGGCATCTTCTATTAAAATACATGTGTGAATTGTATTAAAAAAATTCCACATCGGATAATTGGTGAGGTGTGGATCAGTTAATATATCCAAGTTAGCCGGCTAAGCTTTTGAGTAAAGATGGGTTGATGGGCTTAGACTCGGGCTCTCTTTTGGCGATCTCCCTAGGTGAAAGTATCAAACTTCTACAGCGAGGTTCCAACAAATAGTATCGGATCCAATGGTAAAGTGGTGGGTTTGGTGAATATCTCAAGGAAGGAAAGCGAGATGTGGGCGTTGTGGTATAACAACACAGGCCCTATGACAGGTTTTATGGTTTGGCCTGGAGAAAGAAATTAGGGATGAAGTCAGGCCCTATGGCAGACTTTATAGTTTGGTCTGGAGAATGAGATTAGGGATGAAGTTGGGCGTTGATGACGATTCAAATTGAGATATCTTGATGTAAAATGATATTGGATTAAAGGGGAGTAGATCAAACATTGAGCTCCCACATGTGGGCTTGGATATTGATAGAGATTCAAGTTGAGATATATTGATGCAGAAGGATACTTGAATTAAGGGGGTTCAGACTTAATACTGAACTCATATGTGAGGGGGAGATTGTTGAATACACGTGTGAGTTGTATTAAAAAAGTTTAATATTAGATAATTGGTGTGATGTAGAGCAATTAATATATTCAAGTTAATCCATAACTCATTGACTTAAGCATTTGAATAAATGTGGGTTAAACTAGATATGTTGACGGGCTCAGACTTGGGCTCTCTCTTGCGATCTCTCCGGGTTAAGGTATCAAACTTATGCTGCGCATTTCTAACATCTTCATCTTTTCTTCTTCAACAAAGTGTATTTAAATCCCCAAAGCAAGTCGTTGTTTTGTTTTGTTTTTTTTTGTCACTTTCTTGTTTTTGACTTGATAGTAAAGAGAACTAGTCACACATTTAGGCTGCATATGGTCGTCTGGACTTTTTTGTTGGAAAAGATAAGGTTGGATTGGATGAATATATGATTAGATTTTTTAATATCATATACAATATTTGTATATGTCCGAATATAACAGGGGGAAAATTTTAAATAAGGGTGTAAAATGGAGCCGTTTTCTTGAAAAAGGGTTCAGAGTTGACTTTGTCAAAATAAGAGCTTAAAGTGGAGCCGTTTTCTAAAAAAAGGGCTTAGAGTCAACTTTGTCTCAAATAAGGGTTTGAAGTTAAGTCATTTTCTCAAAAAGAGAACAAGAGTGACCATTATCTCAAATAAATGCTCGAGGTGGCCAACTTAGTTTAAAAAAAGGCCCGAGCTCACCGACCTACCCAATCTTCGTCGCTCGACTAGCTTACAAGTGTGATTCACGTGCTTATTCCTGTAGCAATATCAAGGAGCCAAGAACAGCAGACACGAATGCAATGGAGAAGGTACGTCAGTGATATTAGGAAAAGTTTCCCTTAGAAGAACCCTAGCTTCAATTTGGGGGTTGTTTCAAATTACGTCAAAGCAAAAAATTTCAGACAAAGTTGCCCTTGATGTTCATGCCTTACCGTTAGAATAAGCACGGTAGTTGCACATGCAAAATCGGCTAACGAAGATTTGACCAGCTGATGAGCTCAAACCTTTATTTGAGACTAAATTGGTCACTTTAGGTCGAACAAGATCCACTTTACCAGTTTTGAGAAAGCCGCCTTATTTCAAACCCTTATTTGAGATTATATTAGTCACTTCATGCCTTATTTAGGACAATATTCACTTTGGGTTATCTTTCGAAAAATGAGAAAGCGATCTCAATTCAAACCGTTCTTTGAGATTAAGTTAGTCACTTTAGGCTCTTATATTAAAACAAGATTCACTTTGGGTCAACATCGTCGTTGAGGGGAAGGAGACACAGTGACACACGAGCCTAAGTTGAGATCAAGTGCTAGCACGGGATCTCAAGCTATGCAGTGCTCGACTCGAGCCCTAGATCCTGTATCCAAGGCTTGGTCGACCTCAGATTAGAGATCTAAAGGCTCGACGACGGCGGCAAGGACGACCACGGCCTGCCAAGTGGAGATCAAAGGTGACAAGCTGCTAGCCAAGAGCTGAGGTGGTGGTAATTCCTGGTAGAATGCAAAGGTGGCTGTGGTGGTTGAGGGCGGAGGCAAGAGTGATTGACTGTCATGGTGTAAGTCCTCGCGCAGTGGCCAGCAATGCCATCGTTGGAGGAGGTGATGGACGGCGAGGCAGCTCTAGTCTTGCTTTTGCAATATCCAAAAATATCCAGATTATATCCCACCCCCTTAAGTGGGATTTTTATCTAGATTATATCAGAACAACATCCAAACATATTCTGATTTTGCATTCCCTAAATATCGGATAGGATAAAAGTTATCCTATCTGGAGTTATAACCTGCCCATCAAACCCCGCGTTAGTTTGTGGGATGAATTATGATTATTGAATAACTTCACTCAATATTTAATAATTCAAAATCCAACAGTATATATAGGGGCTTAGCGATTAAGTTCATATGCACACGTGGATTAGGCGGACAACGCAGATTTGGCCGTTCAACTCGACAGAAATAATAAATTTATGTTGGGGCACCCAACGGTTTTTCACTTAAGATGAAGTTTCACATAATTAAATTAGTGGATATGTATGATTTTAGTCTCTAAGAGAATAGCCCATTTAACTCCTAACTAATTCAATGTGCAATTGGAATCTATGTCATGCTAATATGTTACAATTAGAACAACGTAAAAATTAGTACAAGAGTTTTTATTATAAGGGAGTTGTGAACAATCTATAATAGGGAGTTTAAACAAGTTAAACCGCTTTGCGCATCGACCCAAATTTGTGTAACTATGTTACAAAAGCCTCTTTTTTCCATAAGACATGATTTACGGGTTGCCACACACATCTTTTTCTGGGAAACTGTGTCAGCAAGCCACGCAGTGCGAGTTAAGCACATTGGTCACTAACCTGACGAATATGAGATACAATGCCACTCATGTTTTATGTGGTTTACAAGTCGTGTGAGTTGCTAGATTAAAATCAGAAATTCAAATGGAAAATAAAAGAAATATAAGGCTTTCTTCGTTTTGCGAAAAATGTAACGTTTCTGGAAAATATTTTCTAGGAAGACATTTTTCAGAAAAATAAAAATATTTTTCGGTGTTCGGCTGAAACTTGAAAATGAATTGAAGAATATTTTCTGCCATTTGGTATCCAATTTGACTTTCTAGGGAAAATTACCGAAAATTTTGAATTTTTTAATGTTATTAATTATTTTCTTTCTCCTTTCCTTTCCTGTTTTTTCTTCTTCCTTGGCCAGTCGCCGGCCATGACAACGGCCGGCGACTGGCCACAGGCAAGGTCGAGCCTCGCCGGCCTGTGGCCTTGCCTGATTCAGTGAGGTCGAGGTTGCTCGAGGTTGGCAAGCTTGAGCCTCTCCAAATATAGTGAGTTGGGCGAGGCTATGGCGACCTTGAGAGAGGCCTGAGCTCGCCCAAGGCTAGTCAAGCGAGCTGGGCGAGGGTCGAGCCTCACCTGAGGTCGCCATACATCGACGTGGCTCTAGCGACCTCGCCGGAATTTGGCGAGCTTGAGCCTTACCGGCCTGTGGCAAGGCTCGAGCTCGCCTGTGGCCGGCGATTGGTCGAGGAAGAAGCAAGAAAGAAGAAGAAAGAAAATGAAAAAAATAAAAGAAAATGAAAAAGAAAACATAATTAATTTTTTTAAATAAAAAAAGATAAAAAGAAAAGAAAAATACAAATAAAAGGAAAATGTGTTATTTGAAAGAAAGTGAGGTAAAAAAAGATATGGAAAATGTTTTCCGCTTTTTAAAAAATGGAAAATATTTTTCATGACTAGTTTATTTTCCGTGAAACGAACGTTAGAAAATTCGGAAAACGTTTTTCTGGAAGTTGTTTTCCGTGAAACGAACGGAGTCTAAGTGTTGCATTAAAAGAAAATAATAAATTGCGTCCGTGCAAAATGCATAGAACAATTTTCTGAAAATACATCGATTTCTAAGGGAATTGGTTCTAAGTAGATTGCCTTCGTACTTTGTGGCATAAATATAGATTGCTTATGTTCTAACTTAGGAATTTTCATGTTCATTGCACAAAGGGAATAAGGTCAAGTTCCCCAAACATATTTGGCTGGATTATGCAATTACTCCCTCTTAGTCTAATAATTTTGGTATGTGGAAACGAATTATATTTTTTTTATGGGTTAATATTATCCCGAACACCATCCTATCCTAAATCCAAATCAAAATTTATCAAAGCAACTAGCCCCATTTAAAACTTTAATCCCAAAGAGAAAAGCCCTAATTTCAAAATCCACAATCTCACTCGCCACCCAACCATCCTTTTACTGTCAAGCGCACATCGCCTTGAACTGCCGGCATTGGCGCCAGCCACAACAACTCCATGCATCTTTGATCGCTGCCATCATCTACGTACCTCGTCCTTTCCCTCTCTCCAGTTCTTATCCGTCTCGTTGTCATGACTTGGATCTATCTCCCTGTTGTCGATGATTGGTGAGGATGAAGCAGTGACGAAGCTTTCTCAAGACTGGCGATCATGCTTGATGGAGAGAGAACAGGGGAAAAGTGTCAGAAAAGTCATAAACCTATTACATTGGTACCAATTTATTCCTAAATCTTTTAATT